AACAAACCTTAACTGTCAAAATCAAAGATTTGTTTATCCAATCAGTCTCATTAAGAAAACATTCACAACTACAGACCAAGGAGAAACTAAATGCTGAATTTGAGAAAGATCTCTCTAGTCCTTATTGAGAAATAGCGATTACAAACCTTCACTGTCAAAATTCAAGATGGCTGCCTCTCGGACATTTTGTTTATCTAAAGAATCTCAAAAGTAAACATTCCCGGAGAAGGACCATGAGGAACCTTCACATAAAACTAGAGAAAGATCCCTCTAGTACTTCCTGAGAAATAGCGATAACAAACTTTCACTCTCAAAATCCAAGATGGCTGCCTGTCGGCCATTTTGTTTATCTGATCAATCTCAAAAGTAACTATGCACAACTAGGGACCAAGAGGAACCTTCATATAAAATTTGAGAAGATCCCTCCAGTTCTTCCTGAAAAATAGAGACAACAAGAATGTTTAAGGATGGACGACGGATGGACGGACCAGGAACGCAGGTTAAATTGAATAGCCCACCATCAGATGATGGTAGGCTAAAAAGGGCCAAGCCAGGATTTGAATCCTGGACCTCTGACCGCAACACAATTTCTCTATAACCAACTGAGTTACTCAATCAGTATTATACATTGTATTTCTCTTATATCAAAAAACAAAACTAAGGGGAGGTAATTTTTCTAACCCTTTTCTTCAGGTTGGTAAGTATGGATAATGAAATGTTCTTTTTACACAACTAATACAATTTTCTTTGTCACGTCTTTAGTCTTTGAGTCTGAAATTTGTTTTGTGTCACATTTTATACCTTTGTGTGCATACGCTTCACTGGTCATTTGTCTGATGAAGGTGACAGTGTACATATCATACTAGTCATCGAAACGTCACATAGAAAATTTTATTGGCTGTGTAAAAAGAACTTTTCATAATAAGGGGAGGTAACTGTATGTATGAACAAGAGGTCCAATGGGCCTGCATTGCTCACCTGGTATTAATGTCACACTTGTGATCTTAAGAGTGGACTAAAATACAGCTACAGGCAGAATATCAGTGTTTGATTCATAAGAACCTATTAAAATATTTAAACATAAGCCGACTGTGACCTTGAATGTCGAACAAGGACATTAGGTTGAACAGAGTTCATAGTCTTCCAACCCAGCATGCTTCTGGCAAAATATCATTACCCTGGACCTTTTGGTTATACAGAACAAATCAGTTAAAGATTTAAACAAATACTGACCACTGTGACCTTGAATACGGGCAAAGGTCATTCACTTGGTAGTCCTTCATCCAAGCATATTAATGGCCAAATATTATCACGCTTGGCCTTTTGCTTATTGAGAAGAAGTTGGTTAAAGGTTTTTAAACATATTTGACCCCTGTGACCTTGAAAAAAGATGAAGGTCATTCATTTGAACAAAATTTGTAGCCGTTCATCCCAGCATAGTACTAGCCAAATAGCATCACCCTAGGCCTCTTGGTTATTCAAAAGAAATTCTTTTAAAGGTTTTTAACATATTCAACCCTTCATAACTTGAAAGTGAGTCAAGGTCATTCATTTGAACAAACTTGGTAGCCCTTCATCCGAGCATGTTACTGGCAAAATATCATCACCTTACACCTCTTGGTTATTCAGAAGAAGTTGTATTACAGGTTTTTAACATATTTGACCCCTGTGACCTTGAATATAAGTCAGCTTCATTCATTTGAACAAACTTGGTAGTCCATCATCCCAGCATGCCACAGGCCCAATATCATTACCCTGGGCTTTTCGGTTATTTAGAAGAAGTTGTTTGAATATTTTACAACATTTGACCCATGTGACCTTTAAATTGGGTCAAGGTCATTCATTTGAACAAACTTTGTAGCCCTTCATCCCGGCATGCTACAGGCCAAATATCAGTACCCTGGGCCTTTCGGTTTTTGAGAATAAGTTGTTTGAATATTTTAAGACATTTGACCCCTGTGACCTTGAAAGTGGGTCAAGGTCATTCATTTCAACAAACTAGGTATCCCTTTCATCCCAGCATGCTACTGGCCAAATATCAGTACCCTGGACCTTTTGGTTATTGAGAATAAAATGTTTGAAGATTCCTTCTTTTTAAATATACAATGTCTATTTATAAATGGGACGAGGAAGAAATTCCAACAGTGCAGATATAATATGAGGTTGCTTCTTTGACCTATATTCATAAGGCATAATCTATTAACGGCAAATGACTGACATTCTGAGCACACTTCATTCTGTGAATTACCTTTTGGGACTGACTTTATCCAGCAATTAGCCCATGCTGGGTAATAAGCCCACCCATATCTATTGTAAATCTATTGTAGAAATGCCAAAAAATGTTCTTTCATTGATCTATAATAACAATTATCCCATTCAACACTGTAGACCATAATGGACTCATCTAGATCAATTTATGGTAGAGTTTATTCAAGTTACATAGGGGTGAAAGGGTAATTAAGCCAACCCCTGCCTTTGAGTTAAGGTTAAAAAATGGCACCTTGGCGTATTGCTGGATAAATAAGGGACTCTTTTAAATACTTCCTTTTTATTAAAAAATATAACGAGATAATAATCACAGTAGGGTAGCTGCCTTAGTCCACACCCAACTGTGAACCAGTTTGTGGTCTGGAAAATTTGAAACATCAAAAGTTCAGAGAGCCAATCAGAGAATTCCCTCATAGTGAAACTGTCTCATATTCTGAGGCTACTCAAAATAAGACCCCATTCTTACATTTCCATGCCCCATCCTACCCGGATGTGACATATGATATCAGTCGGAGCACAGGGACCTGAGAATTTATTACAGCTATATTTCGATCAAAACTAAGGTGTTCAGAGTAATTTAACACGTTTCGGGGGTTTAGATCAACTTTCGGTAAAAATGCCACCCCCAGACTCCGGAATATAGCTGTGGCGAATTGTCCGGTCCCTGTGAGTCGGAGGTAGGCTAGCACTAAGCAAGCTTGATAACCAAGGTAACCCTACCAATTCACTTTCCAATTATTCGAAAGCTTTCCGAATTTCCATTATATTGCCTCGTTTGTCTTGGGACTCCAGAATTTCACCAGAATCCTTAATAAATAACGTTTTATCGCGGGCTCATCTTGTTACACAACAAAGTAATGCAAACTAATTCCATTTAATCAGGCTCACAGTCGTATTGTGACTCTGCATACTTGGTGATTGGAATAATTGGAATGTGAAATTCAAAGATTTCTTTTTGATCAATTTTGAAAATCCTTTTCTTAAAAATGTTTCTTCTATCAAGTTATCTTTTTTTTACTTTTTGACCCTTTACATAACAATTCCTCATATTATGAGAGATTTCCTTTCAAAAAGAAGGGCAAACAGCGATAGAAATATATGATTGTAAATTGTTTAGGAGCATATTTTGTGAAAAGCACTATAATAAAATAAACAGAGGATGAAATGGTGAGATTAATTCAGTTCCTGGTTGAGTTCTTTATTAAGTCTGTTGGCAAGGCTTTCAATCAGTTAGCTGACTGTAGGCATTCCTATGGAAAGAAACTGTCCCCATCTTCTCACCGACTATTTTTTGGTTACATACCAGTAAGGTTAAAGTTACACATGTAAAGTATCATTGTTTCCACAAATAAGTACAGAAAATTATTCAAATTAAGTATGTGGAAAACAGAAAGTATTTACATTTAGCAACTTGCAGGAATTATAACATAGGGCAAATAAAATTTATCTTAAACAATAAATATAACCCTGTATTTTAAACAATACATCTTAACTAAATTATACATCTTAACTAAATTATACATCTTAACTTAAAACACATACATCTAAGTGAAATAACATCTTAGCTAAAGCAGGAATCTTAAATGACATAGATCTTAAATAAAACACACATATTTAACTAACCATAAATCTTATGATTAAAACATTTATGTGATAAAGTCAAAATCTGATACTGTGTTTATTATCATGTGATATTTTGTATATTTTATGATAATTCATGCAAGTCCATATGCAGCAGAAATCAGCCCTCATTACAGAGGCGGAAAATTAAACTACAGTGAAAATGTCCCTGTATTACAGCATCGACGGGAAGGCTCCGACAGTATTTATCCAGCAATAAGCCCATGCTTGGTAATAAGCCCACCAATATATATTGCAGCTAGGAAGAGACACCAACAAATGTTATTTCATTGTCCTGTAATAAGCCCATCTCCCACTACTTTCAGTCAGAGATTATATATATTAGCCCCCTGGGCTTATTGCGGGATAGTTAGGGTAATTAAAACTGAAACAATGTATAAGAAAATAATTCATGTATCTTAACTAAAACATTCTTTTTCTGTAATAAACTTAAATTTTCTAAGATATGAAAAGAAAATATTTGAGAAATAGTTTACGGATTAATAGGTACTTGAACATAGAAAAACAGTGTAGCCAAAAACCGAAACAGCCCTTAAGGATCCCTGTCCCACTGCACTGTTTTTTACCTATACAGTAACCTCCCCTTAACTTCCTTAAGGATCCCTGTCCCAATACACTGTTGATTATCCTATACAGTAACCTCCCCTTAACTTCCTTAAGGATTCATGTCCCACTTATAACACTGTGGTTTTTCCTATATACAGTAACCTCCCCTTAACTTCCTTAAGGATCCCTGTCCACCTGCTCTGTGGTTTCTCCTATACAGTAACCTCCCCTTAACTTCCTTAAGGATCCCTGTCCCACTGCACTGTGGTCTTTCCTATATAAGGTCACCTCCCCTTAACTTCCTTAAGGATCCCTGTCCCACTACACTGTGGTTTTTCCTATATACGGTCACCTCCCCTTAACATCCTTAAGGATCCCTGTCCCACTGCACTGTGGTTTTTCCTATACAGTAACCTCCCCTTAACTTCCTTAAGGATCCCTGTCCCACTGCACTGTTGTTTTTCCTATACAGTAACCTCCCCTTAACTTCCTTAAGGATCCCTGTCCCACTACACTGTGGATTTTCCTATATACTGTCACCTCCCCTTAACTTCCTTAAGGATCCCTGTCCCACTGCTCTATGGTTTTTCCTATACAGTAACCTCCCCTTAACTTCCGTTTGATTTTAACCTTAGCACATTAGTATTGTTGGTTGTGCTACATGAATCTTTTCACAATCCATACTTTCCAAAATGTTTAGAAATATGTATATAGAGCACATTTGGACTCGTACACTTCCGATGACAAGTTAACTCAATCAGTTTGTGTGATAGTATAACGACCTGTAGACCAGGGTCTAGCCCTGCCGAATTGTTACACGCAGAACACTGTTGTTGATTATTTTTTTGTTTATTTCATCTTTCATTATGTTTCGTAAAAGTTCTGCAAACACAGTTTCCATTTAGAAATTAATTTCAAAGTTATAGTCATGCTGGAAAAAACAGTTTCTAATGCCTAATTACAGTTTTTGACAGTGGTACGGGGATCCTTAATTGTAGTTTGGACTAATTGTACTAACCCTTTCACCACTGTAGACCATAATGGACTTATCCAGACCAATGTATGGTAGAGTCTACTAAAGTTACTTAGGGGTGAAAGGGCTAATCACTATGCTTGAGGCAGAAATGTGATCAACCACCCTTCAATCACATTCAGTGTCTAATCCACAATCAAATCTTTTTACATTTTATTTTCTGTTCCATTCTACTGGTACAATTAACCATAAAAATACTTGTTCATAATGGGTAGAAACTACAAATGACTTATATGAGATATGTATCCATGTTGCTCGGGAATTTTCTTGAAATGGTATGTGGTTCACAGTGAGTATAGACAGAATAGACATCAGTTTTCAGATGTAAGGATTGCTTTTTAACTCACTCACCCCTGAAATTACATAATGAAATATTCCAACATTTGAATTGGAAAAATTCAAATGTGTCTTCAGTGGTGAATGAGTTAAACAACAAATAACAGTTGTGTTTTTCAATAATAGTTGCCGTTGTCAAGGTATCCTGACCTAGTTGTCTCCCTTGGAATACTATTTCTCCTTGCTTCTGCCATCTGGGCCCTTTCTGTTAGTCCCATTTGTTTTAATATGGTCACTAGTTTCGAGAAAGCCTCCCTTGTGTTGATTACCTCGCACAAGTTCTCAAACTCGGGTATGAGATCCTGAAATATCCACAGCTGGTTCAGGCGATTGTACACGATATATAGTTGGTTGAAAACCCTGGCAGCATTCTCATCCGTAAAATCATCTTCGTCCTCACTTGTCAACGGTTGCCTGGGGTTGTACTGCTGTTGACCCTGAGGTTTACCCAGCATTAGTCTCTGTAGTTTCTCACGGTAACGGTTAAGGTTGAAAAGGAGAAAAGGCAGACATTTCTGTGTGAAGTAATTGGAAAAGAGATGAGTCGCCATGTCGGAGCAGAACCGACAAAGTTTGTGTGCCATTACCGCAGGAATTAGCGTGCCAACTTGTGTTTGAGCTACGTCCTTACCCACTAGCTCTTCCAGAGCCACAGGCTGCATAGCCATGCTAAGATCAGCACACAGAGTTGTGTGAAGCTGCTGGTCAACATTGAAAAAGAACCACCACTGTTTCTCAACAGAACAGCCATCAGTAGCCTGCGTAAGGAACGCAGTGAAAGGGAGAGCATCCTCGCACGTACTGATGGCCAGGCGTTCCTCATACGCCTCCTGCAGCTGCTCCAGTGCCTGTTTGTATGCACCTGTATGTACACTGTATTTGGCAATGTTAATTGAGATGGGGACAAGCGCTTCTAGAACAGACCTCCTGGCACTGTGATGGTCATGGAACAGCTCAATATCATTGGTCACCTGACTAAGGATACCATGGGCATTGTATATTCGGTTTTTCTGACCGATCTTCAATAAATTGGACATTGGGTCGTTTCTCAAGGTCATAATTTTCTGCAGTATCTTCTTGTGCTGATCTTCGTCAAAATGATCAATCAGGTTATTGGCTGGCAGGAAGAAGTCTGGGACATTTCTCTCTTGAATACACGTAAACAGGGCATCAAGCAAGTAGAAAATACAGGAACCTGGACGCGACACCCAGAAATCACATGGAAGCTGTTCACACGCATAAAAGAAGATGTTTTTGAGATGAGCTGACGTGATGAGGTCTTCTTCCGTGAATTCCTGGCTACACAAAGCCTTGAACACAAGGAAGATGTAGCGTTGCTCGCGGCTCAATGCTTCCTGTGCAAGCATTTTTTCCGCAACACCAAAACAGGCATGAAACTCGATGTCTGGATTTTGACTTTTTGGGTGTGGAAAGCACTCAAAATGATATCCCCCAGCGATGATACTGTCAATGATGTTTTGAGGAGGCCAATTGGCTTTTCGCTGTCGTGTCCTCCACTCATCGGCAACAGCTGGCCAAAATGGTGCAACTATTGCCAAGGATATTTTGTTGAATAATGAAACAACAGAAGTATTTTGGCTGGCACTGTAGTCTTTTTCCTCTTTGCTCAAGTTGAATACTTTTTTGAAGTTTGAATGATGACTAGGAAGATAGCAACTGATGACCCCAGTTTCTGAGGAGGTCATACCCCACTGATCCGGATAGCGTGACAAGAGTCTGGCGTATCCTGGGTGGACATTTTCTGTTTCTATGAAGGCATCCATCATGCCCACATCACTGTGATCCTTAGGGTACGCAATACATGTGTTTGGCATCACTATCCCAGTCACGTCTACCCATTCCGATCCTTGATCAAACTCAGTTCTCTCCCTTTCATTCAGATATGGAGCATATAATCCCTCAGCGGCGTCTCCAGTTAACACAACAGACGACGCAGATCCAAGTCCAAAACGCTTTTGCACTCTGGTAAAATTACCATCCTCCATCAGCATTTCAGCATTGGTGACCACCGAGTCCGCACTCTGGAGAGTAGTAACAAGGGGGACAAACTTCTTAAGTATGTAAGTTAAGTGGAGGGCAGGAATCTCGCTCCAAGGGTCGAAGTAATCCTCCTCAAACATCTCCTGCTTGGCAGGATCTGAAGTGTAAAGACAAGTTTGTTAATATTAGCACAAGTCTATTAGAGGACTTTTGCAAGTAGTTGTTTTTTGGGGTGCAAAAACATGGTGCATAATGATTTTAATTTGGTTTTATTTTGTTTAACATTCTTTTAACAGCTAAGGTCATTTCAGGACATGCCTCCATGTGTATTGCGTGTGCTTGCATGTGTTTATATGTGCGGGAGGCAAGGTATGTTGGTGTTATTGCATCCTTGTGATAGAGCGGATCTAATGCAGATTTTATAGTGCTATCTCACTGAAATACCATGCCGATTGCACCCAGCACAGCATTCTGCCCGGTCACATTAAACTGACAATGGGTGAACCAGTTGTTGCCACTATCCTAAATGCTGAACTGTTAGCGGGGAATAACAACTACCATTTACGAAAGAATCATTTTCCAACACAAAGTTCTACCAAGATCGTAAACATACTATAAATCTACATTTAGCAGAGTTCTAATTTTAGCTATTTGCACACTTTCAACATTGTGCTAATTTATGATTGGGTTAATATTATGTCTGGTCATAGTTTTCTATTTTATATATTGTGAGTGCATCAATTCATTGATGCAGTATTTTTTTAAATTTCGATAACATGCTAAAATTTGTGTCAGCAAAGTTATGACTCTTTCAGTGTTTAGTTCACTTAACGTTTGGTGCTTTACCAAACTTTAACAGATTAGCACATGGATGAGTTCAATTGGCACACCCGCATTACGTACAATAAAAAACAACGTAAAAAAACATATTTTAGCACATTCATAAATTAGTGCAATATTAAAAGCCCTAAACTAGAACACTGACAGGTCAGTAAGGCCCCCCTCTTGTGGCAATTATATCCCCCATAATCATCAAGAAGCAATCTGCCCATATAGCTGAGCTTGATGTTTGACTTTTGGACTTCAAAAAAAATCGCAAGGAAGCAAAGTATACATTTTACATGTACTATGATGTGATTGTTTCCTTCCCCCTCCATATTTGCTGAGCTAACAGAAATGTAATTACCGGTGCAATACTCCTTTGTTAGCTTTGATTTGTTTTATTTCACCTTATATTCCTTCTCCATCAAGAGCCAGGGTCAAAGTCAGAGATCCACTTTGTCTTTCACCTTTGGACCCAAATGACCTTGACCATTAACCCAGTGACCCTGATCTTTGGTCAGTTGACTTATTCTTTAATTCCGACCAACTTTGCTTCTTAATATCATAACAAAATGTTCATCAGGGAAAAGGTACAAAATTTTAACCTTGACCTTTAACCAAGTGACCTTGACCTTTGGTTAATTGACTCCTTGTTTAATTCTGAGCAACATTGCTTCAAAGTGTCATAGCGAAATGTTCACCAGTGAAAAGATACAAAATTTAACCTTGACCTTTTACCCAATAACCTTGACCTTTGGTCAGTTGACTCGTTGTTTAATTCTGATCAACTTTGCTTCATCATGTCATAACAATATATTCATCAGTGAAAAGATGCAAAATTTGACCTTGACCTTTGAATCTCATGACCTTGACCTTTGGCCTCAACTTTTTACCTCGGTGTGTCTCTTTGTTTAATTCCGAACAACTTTGCTTCATAATGTCATAGTGAAATGTTCACTAGTGAAAAAATACAAAATTTGACCTTGACCCCTGACCCGATGACCTTGACCTTTGGTCAGTTGACTCCTTGTTCAATTCTGATTAACTCTGCTTCATAATGTCATAACAAAATGTTCACCAGTGAAAATATGTAAAATTTGACCTTGACCTTTGAACCTAATGATCTTGACCTTTGACCTTGACATTTTACTTCAATTTGTATTTTTATGAACTGAACATCTTGACTAAGTTTCATGTACATTGGTCAATAAATACTAAAGTTATCAGCCAGGAACAAAATTTGTGGACGGACAGACAGACAGACTGACAGAGTGATTACTATAGGGTACCCGTATCTCCGATACGGGGCCCTAATTAAGATTACTATAGAGTACTGTGTACTGGAAAATGTTCGTCTGGTGACACTTTCACCCTTCGCCCATAAATAAATTTTTGCTAATTGTTAATTTCGCCCTTCACATTTAATTTCTATGTATATTATGCTCTTTACTTACATTCGTTGTTATGATAAGTCAGCATTCATAACGGAGGGTGAAAGGTGGAAATTAAACTGCAGGACAAATTTCCCAGTATATATAATACTAGTATGTACATGTATGTTGAGAGTGTTTTTAAAAGGCTCAAAAACCCAAATATATGACACTCTGAAACGAACTGTCGATGTTTACCTGAATACCTATAAGGCTTACTTTTAGCAATTTTTTATTTTCACAAAAAATGTAAATTGGTTTTTAAGGAAAGGTGTAATCGCCAGATCTACTGAAGTGCTTTAGAGTTATTTTACAAATTAAATAGGGCGCTATATAAATGTTGCACATTATTATTATTATTATTATTATTATATATAACACACTTTCTGATAAAAGGTTCGATAAACTTGGAGCACTATTATACATTTTGTATTGTACTGCTATTGATATTCTCTCCCCTAGCTGAACATTTTACCGTCAATGCTGGGTAGACTTGGTAAGGAAGAGAAAACATCCATAGATCTATAGTTCTCCTGGTCACTGTCAGGGTCATCCTCTGCAACAAAACAAACAAATATCTGGTCACCCTACTACAATCAGTACAATGTGGAGTTTTTCAGTGAAAATTCAAAAGTCAGGGTCAGCCTATGCAACAAAATAAACAAATATCTGGTCACCCTTAACTAAAATCAGTACAATTTTGAGGTTTTCAGTTATATTAAGAATTCAGATCTTGTATGTTGATTCTTGATTAAACAACTACATGGTGGTTTATTGTCAGAAAAATTGATTCCAAGAAATTTGTTTTTGAAAATAGAAAGCTAAAGCGGTAGTGAGGTTTTGTCCATTTTTTGGCCATGATTAGTACCCCAATCAGTCTTGTGATACTTGTGTTTATTTCTACCCGTTGATGTGCTGATTGCAACAAAATATATCACTTTTATAAACACCTAACTGAACTACTATTGAATATCTACACTTTTATATTACCCGGTTGTATGGACCAAAAATCAACATTTAAACATGCTTATAATTAACCACTCAAAAATCCCCCATAATTTCGTCGACATAGTTACGTCATTTTTACTGGTTTTCTGACAGGTTTTCTAACTTTGAAGTCATTGTGTACTCTTAAAATGTTCCTGAAAACAAAACCATTCGGTGGAAATGCTGATAAATGTCATCATTATGTTGCCATCTGGGAATTATAAATGCATCAAAAGGTTTAACGTATAAGTAACAAAGTTGGTGCCTTTTTGAATTGGGAATGACTGCGCGGACACAATGAATTAGGAATTTTACTGCGCAGAAACAATGAATTGGGAATTTTACTGTGCGGACACAACGAATTGGGAACTTTACTGTGCGGACACGATGAATTGGGAATTTTACTAAGCGAACACAATAAATTGGGAATTGTACTGTGCGAACACAATGAATTGGGAATTGTACTGTGCGAACACAATGAATTGGGAATTTTACTGCGCGGACACAATGAATTCCGAATTTTACTGTGCGGACACAATGAATTTTGAATTTTACTGTGCGGACACAATGAATTGGGAACTTTCCTGAGCGGACACATTGAATTGGGAACTTTACTGTGCGGACACGATGAATTGGGAATTTTACTAAGCGAACAAAATGAATTGGGAATTGTACTGTGCGAACACAATGAATTGGGAATTGTACTGTGTGAACACAATGAATTGGGAATTTTACTGCGCGGACACAATGAATTCCGAATTTTACTGTGCGGACACAATGAATTTCGAATTTTACTGTGCGGACACAACGAATTGGGAACTTTCCTGTGCGGACACAATGAATTGGGAATTCTACTAAGCGAACACAATGAATTGGGAATTGTACTGTGTGAACACAATGAATTGAGAATTTTACTGCGCGGACACAATGAATTGGGTATTTTACTGTGTGGACACAATGAATTGGTGATTTTACTGTGTTGACACAATGAATTGGGAACTTTACTGTGTGGACACAATGAATTTGGAATTTTACTGTGTGGACACAATGAATTTCGAATTTTACTGTGCGGACACAATGAATTTCGAATTTTACTGTGCGGACACAATGAATTGGTAACTTTACTGTGCGGACACAATGAATTGGGAATTTCACTAAGCGAACACAATGAATTGGGAATTGTACTGTGCGAACACAATGAATTGGGAATTGTACTGTGTGAACACAATGAATTGAGAATTTTACTGCGCGGACACAATGAATTCCGAATTTTACTGTGCGGACACAATGAATTGGGAGTTTTACTAAGCGAACACAATGAATTGGGAATTTTACTGCGCAGAAACAATGAATTGGGAATTTTACTGTGCGAACACAATGAATTGGGAATTTTACTGCGCGGACACAATGAATTCCGAATTTTACTGTGCGGACACAATGAATTTTGAATTTTACTGTGCGGACACAATGAATTGGTAATTTTACTGTGTTGACACAATGAATTGGGAACTTTACTGTGTGGACACAATGAATTGGGGACTTTACTGTGCGGACACAATGAATTGGTAACTTTACTGTGCGGACACAATGAATTGGGAACTTTACTGTGCGGACACAATGAATTGGGAACTTTCCTGTGCGGACACATTGAATTGGGAACTTTACTGTGCGGACACAATGAATTGGGAATTTTACTGTGCGGACACAATGAATTGGGAATTTTACAACATATAAAGGATGTATGATATTAGGGAAATTTTGTTTGATCGCGCTCAAACAACCTCATGTGTAAACAAAACTTGAAGCTGGAATTCAATGCCCCAAGATAAACGTTTATTTGTCTACAAAAAAATAACGTTGTACAACAGTTTATAAGAAGGCATACTTTAATTATTTTACAAGCGATTGGGAAAATATTGGGTCAGAATTGGGAAAACTACCTGGGGAAAGTACCTTAAGTCGGAACAAAAAAAGGGGTAAAAAATTCACTGAAAGCCTATGAAAAACCAACGATTCTTAAAAGATCCTTAACTTGATAGGGGAAGTTACTCTTAAACAGTAAAACTCATAAATTGCTATCACCCAAGAAAAATGAAGAAAAATATTTTAAGGACAAACATCTAAATTGTAAAACATTTATTACAAACTTTATTTGTCATGGTAAAATGTGATTGTGTAACATTTTAAAAAAGAATAAAATATTAAAACGCAACAAATCGTTCTCAGTATAAAGGACTACTTTGTAATAAAAAAAAAATCAGATTAATTTTAGCATTCATTTGCAAAGAGACACATTAATTTTGTGAATTTAAAATTTCAACAAATTATTTCAATGAAAAAAAAAAAGAATACATTTGTTCATGTATATATACATATATATATAATATCCATAAATATTTACGAATATCAATATTGAAATACGCTGTAGGATCCACTTAATCGAGAATTCTGATTTTCACAAAACAAAATTGAAATAGTTCATGAAATAGTGACACAAGAAAAATAGAGATTCAGAGTATGGCCAATTTAACAAAATGCTTGAAATAAGTCCTTATTTCTGATAACCAGGAAGTGACATCATACTGACAAAATATATTTTGTTCTTTATTTCACAACAAAAACTGATTATTTCAAGTTATATTAATCACTCTTATTGGCCTGAATATTAACACACTGGTGGTCTTAATGTGAGAGGAAACCGGAGAACCTGGAGAAAACCTGCATGGTCAGGCAAATGAAAGTAAAAGTAAAGCCACCCAACCACCCATAAAGAGTTAACATTAAGATGTTTGTCCGACATCATACTGACTATTATGCAGTTGCTTGGCCAGGTCCGACGGTCGCAGGCTAACGTAGTGGAACTCTCCAACATGACCAAGGAAAAGGCAGTCTGTCTTGTCTGATTTATCTAATGTGTCCAGTTTGTATTCAATGACTGTCCAGTCTCGTTCTGCATCATGGTGAATCACCTGAATATTTCTTTTTGTCACCTAAAAATTGAAAAAATAAATATTAACATATTTATCAAACCTCTCACCATTTTCAAAGTGAAAATAATACTATAAATAAAAACTACATGATGAATCTTCTTCTTTTCAGATTTGCAGACACTAATGGTAAAGATACTAATGGTACAGAAAATAATGGTACAGCCACTAATGGTACTGACACTCATGGTACAGACACTAATGGTACAGACACTCATGGTACATACACTCATGGTACAGACACTAATGGTACAGACAGTAATGGTACAGACAATAATGGTACAGACACTAATGGTACAGACACTAACGGTACAGACACTGATGATACAGACACTCATGGTACAGACACTCATGGTACAGACACTAATGGTACAGACACTAATGGTACAGACACTCATGGTACAGACAGTAATGGTACAGACAATAATGGTACAAAAACTAAAGGATCAGACACTAATGGTACAGACACCCATGGTACAGACACTAATGGTACAGACACTAATGGTACATACACTCATGGTACAGACATTAATGGTACAGAGACTAATGGTACAGACACTCATGGTACAGACAGTAATGGTACAGACAATAATGGTACAAAAACTAAAGGATCAGACACTAATGGTACAGACACCCATGGTACAGACACTAATGGTACAGACACTAATGGTACAGACACTCATGGTACATACACTCATGGTACAGACACTAATGATACAGACACTCATGGTACAGACACTAATGGTACAGACACTCATGGTACAGTCACTCATGGTACCGACACTCATGGTACAGACACTTATGGTACATACACTCATGGTACAGACACTAGTGGTACAGCCACTCAAGGTAGAGACACTAATGGTACAGACACTCATGGTACAGACAGTAATGGTACAGACACTAATGGTACAGACACTTATGGTACATACACTCATGGTACAGACACTAATGGTACAGCCACTCAAGGTAGAGACACTAATGGTACAGACACTCATGGTACAGACACTCATGATATAGACATTAATGGTACAGACACTAATGGTACAGACACTCATGGTACAGACCCTCATGGTACAGACACTAATGGTACACACAGTAATGGTACAGACACTAATGGTACAGACACTAATGGAACAGACACTCATGGTACAGACACTCATGGTACAGACAGTAATGGTACAGACACTAATGGTACAGACACTTATGGTACATACACTCATGGTACAGACACTAATGATACAGACACTAATGGTACAGACACTCATGGTACAGTCACTCATGGTACCGACACTCATGGTACAGACACTTATGGTACATACACTCATGGTACAGACACTAATGGTACAGACACTCATTTTACAGACACTAATGGTACAGACACTCATGGTACAGACACTAATGGTACAGACAGTAATGGTACAGACAATAATGGTACAGACACTAATGGTACAGACACTCATTTTACAGACACTAATGGTGCAGACACTCATGGTACAGACACTCATGGTACAGACACTAATGGTACACACAGTAATGGTACAGACACTAATGGTACAGACACTAATGGTACAGACATTTATGGTACAGACACTCATGGTACAGACACTAATGGTACAGACACTAATGGTACAGACACTCATGGTACAGACACTCATGGTACAGACACTAATGGTACAGACACTAATGGTACAGACACTAATGGTACAGACACTCATGGTACAGACACTCATGGTACAGACACTAATGGTACAGACACTAATGGTACAGACACTAATGGTACAGACACTCATGGTACAGACACTCATGGTACAGACACTAATGGTACAGACACTAATGGTACAGACACTAATGGTACAGACACAACTATTGAATTTGATTGTCCACATTTGTGAGAGTAAAAATTTAACTGTTATATGAATGTTACCTGTTATGTTACATGTAATCTTACCTGTAATATCAGTGTTACCTGCATTGTTATCTGTAATATCAGTGTTACCTGTAATGTTATCTGTAATATCAGTGTTACCTGGAATGTTACCTGTAATGTTACCTGTAATGTTACCTGTAATATCAATGTTACCTGTAATGTTACCTGTCATATCAATGTAACCTGTAATGTTAACTGTAATATCAATGTTACCTGTAATGTTATCTGTAATATCAGTGTTACCTGTAATGTTACCTGTAATTTTATCTTTTATATCAATGTCACATGTAATGTTACCTGTAATATCAATGTTACATATAATGTTACCTGTAATATCAGTTTTACCTGTAATATCAGTGTTACCTGTAATGTTACCTGTAATTTTATCTGTAATGTTAACGGTAATATCAATGTTACATATAATGTTCCCTGTAATATCAGTTTTACCTGTAATGTTACCGGTAATATCAATGTTACATATAATGTTGCCTGTCATGTTACCTGTAATATCAATGTCACCTGTTATGTTACCTGTAATATCAATGTTACCTGTAATGTTACCTGTAATTTTATCTGTAATGTTAACTGTAATATCAATGTTACCTGTAATGTCACATGTAATGTTACCTGTAATATCAATGTTACATATAATGTTACCTGTAATATCAAATTTACCTGTAATATCAGTGTTACCTGTAATGTTACCTGTAATTTTATCTGTAATATCAATGTTACCTGTAATGTTACCTGTTATATCAATGTTACATATAATGTTACCTGTCATGTTACCTGTAATATCAATGTCACCTGTTATGTTACCTGTAATGTCAATGTTTCCTGTAATGTTACCTGTAATTTTATCTGTAATATCAATGTCACCTGTAATGTTACCTGTAATATCAATGTCACATGTAATGTTACCTGTCATGTTACCTGTAATATCAATGTCACCTGTAATGTTACCTGTAATGTTACCTGTAATATTAACACTTATGTTACCTGTAATATCAATGTCACCTGTAATGTTACCTGTAATGTTACCTGTAATGTTAACACTAATGTTACCTGTAATATCAATGTCACCTGTAATGTTACCTGTAATGTTACCTGTAATGTTAACACTAATGTTACCTGTAATATCAATGTCACCTGTAATGTTACCTGTAATGTTACCTGTAATGTTAACACTAATGTTACCTGTAATATCAATGTCACCTGTAATGTTACCTGTAATGTTACCTGTAATGTTAACACTAATGTTACCTGTAATATCAATGTCACCTGTAATGTTACCTGTAATGTTACCTGTAATATCAATGTCACCTGTAATGTTCTGTAATGTTACCTGTAATGTTACCTGTAATATCAATGTCACCTGTAATGTTACCTTTAATGTTACCTGTAATGTTAACACTAATGTTACCTGTAATATCAATGTCACATGTAATGTTACCTGTAATGTTACCTGTAATGTTAACACTAATGTTACCTGTAATATCAATGTTTCCTGTTATGTAATTACATATAATGTTATCTGTAATGTTACCTGTGATATAGCCTGTAGTATCAGTATTACCTGTAATGTTACCTGTGATATTGCCTGTAGTATCAGTGTTACCTGTAATGTTACCTGTGATATAGCCTGTAGTATCAGTGTTACCTGTAATGTTACCTGTAATGTTATCTGTAATATCAATGTCACATGTAATGTTACCTGTAATATCAATTTCACCTGTTATGTTACCTGTGATATCAATGTTACCTGTAATGTTACCTGTTATGTTACCTGTGATATCAATGTTACCTGTAATGTTACCTGTTATATCAATGTCACCTGTAATGTTATATGTAATATCAGTGTTACCTGTAATGTTACCTGTAATATCAATGTTACCTGTAATGTTACCTGTGATATAGCCTGTAGTATCAGTGTTACCTGTAATGTTAACACTAATGTTACCTGTGATATAGCCTGTAGTATCAGTGTTACCTGTAATGTTACATGTGATATTGCCTGTAGTATCAGTGTTACCTGTAATGTTACCTTTGATATAGCCTGTAGTATCAGTGTTACCTGTAATGTTACCTGTAATATCAGTGTTACCTGTAATGTTAACACTAATGTTACCCATGATATAGCCTGTAGTATCAATGTCACCTGTAATGTTACCTGTGATATAGCCTGTAGTATCAGTATTACCTGTAATGTTACCTGTGTTACCTGTAATGTTCCCTGTGATATAGCCTGTATTATCAGTGTTACCTGTAATGCTACCTGTAATGTTAACACTAATGTTACCTATGATATAGCCTGTAGTATCAGTGGTACCTGTAATGTTATCTGTGATATAGCCTGTAGTTCTCAATGTTACCTGTAATGTTATCTGTGATATAGCCTGTAGGATCAATGTTACCTGTGATATACCCTGTAGTATCAGTGTTACTTGTGATATAGCCTGTAGTATTAGTGTTACCTGTAATGTTATCTGTAGTATCAGTGTTACCTTTAATGTTACCTGTAATGTTACCGGTAATGTTAACTGTGATATAGCCTGTACTATCAGTGTTACCTGTAAAGTTACCTTTGATATAGCCTGTAGTATCACTGTTCCCTGTGATATAGCCTGTACTATCAGTGTTACCTGTATTGTTATCTGTAATATCAGTGGTACCTGTAATGTTAACTCTAATGTTACCCATTGATACTACAGGCTATATTACAGGGAACATTAGTGTTAACATCACAGGTAACACTGATACTGCAGGCTATATCACAGGTCACATTACAGGTAACACTAAAGGTAACATTGATACTAAAGGTTATATCACAGGTAACATTCCAGGCAACACTGATATTACAGATAACAGTGCAGGTAACACTGATACTGCAGGCTATATCACAGGTTACATTACAGGTGACATTAATACTACAGGCTATATCAGTGTTACCTGTATTGTTATCTGTAATATGAGTGTTACCTGCATTGTTATCTGAAATGTCAGTGTTACCTGTAATGTGACCTGTGATATTGCCTGTAGTATCAGTGTAACCTGTAATGTTACCTGTAATATCACTGTCACCTGTTATGTTACATGTAATGTCAATGTTTCCCGTAATGTTACCTGTGATGTCAATGTTACCTGTAATATTACCTGTGATATAGCCGGTAGTATCAGTGTTACCTGTCAGTGTTACCTGGAATGTTACCTGTAATGTTAATGTTTCCTGTAATGTTATCTGTAATTTTATCTGTAATATCAATGTCAACTGTTATGTTACCTGTAATATCAGTGTTAGCTGCATTGTTATCTGTAATATGAGTGTTACCTGCATTGTTATCGGTAATATCAGTGTTACCTACATTGTTATCTGTAATATGAGTGTTACCTGCATTGTTATCGGTAATATCAGTGTTACATGCATTGTTATCTGTAATATCAATGTCAACTGTTATGTTACCTGTAGTGTCAGTGTTTCCTGTAATGTTATCTGTGATATAGCCTGTATTATCAGTGTTACCTGTATTGTTATCTGTAATATCAGTGTTACCTGTGATATAGCCTGTAGCATCATGTGATCTCCCCACTCCCCATCTTGACTCATCCTAGACAGGTACTCGTCCCAGGTTTCTGCATCTAAAAACAATGCATAGGGAGTGCCGTCCTCACTCTCGGGATTATCCCGGAGAAAATTCAGGCACTCAAATCGAAGAGACTTTGGACTGAATGAGAAATTTTTCTTTAACTCCATCTGGTCCACAATCGCAGCAAACATACAATTCCCATCAGGTATCACATTACGAATTTCGAAACCAGCACTGCCTGCCGTGACGATCATTTCTCTCAGAAGCTTCATAAAATTTCCTTCACAGTCCCTCCTACCACAGCCTGTAATATAGTTCAAAAATGGTGTATACCTCCGCCCATTCAAATTTTCGCCCATCAACAGAAAAATCATTTTCTGCCCAATATTAAATTTGCCCTTCACATTTAATTACTCTGTATACATTGTATTATGTTGTTTAGAAATGTTCGCTGTAATGATAAATACGCCCCCATTACAGAGGGCGAAAAAAGTCAACAATTTCCCGGTATACAGTACCCCATATACAGTTAATTACAAATACTCACACCTGAAGGGTTTATATTATAACTAATGGATTCAAGTTACAGGTCTTCTTACGCTTTTTGTTTACAACTTACCAGAGCAGGCGTGCGTGAAGGCTTGTTTGTGTCGGTTTTTTGAACGCTTTTGCGTTACCACGGAGACCTTGCTGTCAATGTCTGATGATCCTGGATCTGATCGAGAAGGACTCTCCTTCCCATACACAGGTGCAACAGTTTGCCCTAATAAAGGTAAACAAAAAATGTACGTGTTTAACATTACACCCGGTCCATGGCTTAAAGTTTTTCACTCCCCCACATGGGCCTTAACTCTTTGGTTTTAAGGATCTCAGTACCACTGCCAAAAACTTTAACTAAGTACTGGAAACCGTGAATTTTTTTCTGAAAAGAAAATCAAACCTTGCAAGACTTTTATGAGAAATATTATAAGGACAAAACAAACAAAATATATCATAGGGGAAAATGAGATCCGACGTCAGAGAATGTTCAGTAAAGTTCTGTGTACCCCAGTTGATGGATTTGTACACGAAATTCACTAGTCCGGCCATAAGAGTAAATTAAACTCATCGAAGAGATGACCTTAAGACAACATCAAATGGGGAGTCTTGGCAAATTTAACCTAGGCAAAACATGTAAACTATATTAACTGTATTAACTGTACTTCTGGCTCTTTGACAGGATGAACCCCTGGTAGCACACGGCTACTACATTTGCCAAGACTCCCTATTTGACGTTGTCTGGTCATCTCTTTTTTGATACAAAATATATAATAAACGATGGTGTTCTGAGTGTAAAAACCCACGATGACTAGACCAGGATGCCAACCCTTGGTCATCTATCTAACCGTTTGAGCTACCTGGTCAACAGAATTGTGCTGGCCAGTCTTAGCTTCTGTTAAAATGTATGTATATATAACCAAAAAGAAGTTAAGGGTTGTTTACTGTAGATAGGAAAAATCACAGTCTGGTGGGACATAGATCCTTAAAGGATAGGTCTATTAGACATATGTTTGACTTTCCAAAATTAAACAAAAATTATATTTGACTTCTGAAAATGCTAATGTCCAATAATCAGGTGACAGCCCTGATATCCATGTGCATTAAGGTTTCTTTTGCCATGGACATTCTCTAGAGAACAGGAAAACATTTTTTTAGCACAGTCGGCTAACTTTTGTATCAGATGACTTGAAATTGCTAAAACAAGGTCAATACCATGTCATGCTGATGCTAAATTGATCAAACTAAGGACAATATGTTGCTGTTTTAAAGCAAAAGTATAATGACAACAGTTTCAAAGTAACTCTTTTCAAGTCAATGTTTGCCCCACATTGTTAACTATGTTGATGATCTTTTTAGATATATCTTGTTCAAAAATACATGCATGTACATCTGCCCTGACATAGTATCGGCGTCACTGACATCACAGTAGTGAACCATCTCTGATGCTTGTTATGACTCTCCTACTGAAAATTTCCCTTCAGCTCCATCCATCCATCAATAGACAAAATAATGTGTTTTTCTTGACAGTTTCTTACTGATGTCAACAATACCAAGTCAAGTGCTGTCGATATAACTCTTTCAAGACTGTAGACCATAATGGACTCGCCCACATCAATTTATGGTAGAGTTTATTAAAGTTACATAGGGGTGAAAGGGTTTTATTTTTTTATATAACCCTTGTAACACTGCATACCATGATGGACTCATCCGGATGAATTTATGGTAGAGTTTATTAAAAGTTACATAAAGGTGAAAGGGATTTCTTTTTTTATATAACCCTTTCAACACTGCAGACCATCGTGGACTCATCCAGATAAATTTATGGTGGAGTTTATTAAAGTTACATAGGGGTGAAAGGGTTAAGCCAAAATCAAAAATCACATATGATTTTAATAATCCAGTCCCCTGTTGACTGAGCTGAGGGAGTTGTGGGTAAGCAGGTTTTTTATGTTTTCTCCTTGATGGTATTTGTTTAAGGATCCCTGTCCCACTACATGTGAAACACTAGAGAATCTCCCTGTGTTTGTTTGTATTTATAGTTGCCTCATTTTAATTTTATTTTGGATATTACTGTAACACGGTCGGGCCAGGACACTTCCATTGACCAGGTGTAGCTCATTTGGTTAGTGCACATGCAATGGTTTGACAATATGAGGTCCGGGATTCAAATCCAGGTCTAGTTCTGCTTTATTTTTTACAAACAGAAGACTGCACTGCTGATTCAATTTTGTTTATTTCATCTTTCATAAAAGTCCTGCAAATTCTTCAAAATTTTCATCTCAGAAATGATTTATCAGAATTAAGCTATTGTCATGCAGAAAAACACAGTTCATGTCTTCCTCAATACAATGCCAATCCCTTAAGCACCACGACCATTTTGCTGGACATATAGGGCCTGTATAACAAGGTTTTACTAAAAGTGCATAATACTTACAACAAATCACTTGAATCCTGAAAAAGATGTTTAACGAGGGTGAAAAGCGGGCAAAAAAATATGTTTTCTCTTACCTGGGTAATAGTCCGATACAGCGTTTTGAAGAGTGTCAGATGCCCCTGTTTGGCCCACGGGGCTCCCTCCTTGATGAGAAACTCCACGAAATGCTTCATTGGTATGCTTAGATAAGTGTTCATACTGAGCGCCAGAAAAGTCTCCGCTGGTGTACCCTTCAGGTTTTTCCTCAGAAAATCTGTCAGCTGAAACTCCGGAATGATTTCCTTTGGCACTTTCCTTTGAAAGACTCTGAAAGTAAGAACTATGAGGATCCTGTCTCAGGTGTGGTATGCTTTCCTGCGAAGAAGGATCGGGTGAGGATACTGCAGGCAAAGCAAGAGGAGAGTTTCCCTCCGAACGTAACTGTGAAGGGTTTCCTGTCTCGACGACCAGGATGTTACTGTAGTGATACTGCTGTGTTAACGTATCTCTCCCATACTCGTCCTGCTGTCTAGTAACCTTTCCCGGTTGCGTCAGCATTACGACTGCCATCTTCATCGTTTCAGGCCTACGAGGCTGTCGCGGAGGGCGATCCTTTCTAGACGTTTCAATCACAAACATTTCTTTAAGGACATCACCCAGTAGATTCTGCTGCTCCCTATAATCTAAAACCATTAACATATTACAAATCGACTGCGTCCCTTTGTTCACTACGAAAAGTTTCATATTTAAACATATTTATTTTATGAACATAGAGATACAACCCGACATAGAAAGTTAACAGTGCTTTATCAAGCTTAACATAGTATGATTGTCAACCTGTTTCACCTGGGGAGGAGTTGGTCAGGTTGACATTGGGCAGTACAAAGAGTGTCCATGTCATATTGAATTTATTCAACGAGTTCAATAATTTCATATGGCACAAGCATTTAGGCGAGTGTCATATCAAATTATTGAACGAGTTTAATAAATTCAATATGACATGGACACGAATGTAGGATTCTATTTATCACATAACTTTCATAATTTTAAAAGTAACTTCAAACACAATTATGTGTTATCAGCTGGCTCTTTAAAGTCATCGATCCCAGTATTGTCTTTCCGCGCAGTGCAAAGTAGTTCCAGATTATCTCATGTTTATGAAGAACAATTTTAAATGCAATGAAAAAATAGCATTTAAAATTAATATAATATTAAAAACATTTAACTTTATCAGAAAGAAAATCAGTTAAAAATGTTCAAAATTTTGTAGTGGCTTAGGAATATGTTCTCACGTGTGTTGACCAGTCGCAGCACCTTTAGGTTTTATTACACGTGTGTAATACCATATTATGACATGGCCGTATGACATAGTAAAATGGGTCAGTTATGTAAAAAAAATATATTAACTTAATAAGGCACCAAATGCCAATGTAATTTGACCTAACTTTGAATGTTACAGGGTCACCAAAATGTCTGAAAAGCTCACAAATGTAACTTAAAATCATTGATTTAACTGTGGTTTTAGCGATTATGATTTAAAATGGGGATAACCAAACTGTATGTTTACGATTTGTGTCGGTATATTGTGATTATACCATCACAAATATCCGTTACACTAGCTCTGTTCCATGTTGCCAGTTTAAGACAATGTGCAACAGTAATATCATGATATTGATAGCAAATCGTAAAATCCAGTATGGCTATTCCGTATTTACTATGTTGAATATTTTTACCTTTCAATCCTAAATTATCGTACTCCACTTCTTCTGGGTCATCATCAAAGTCATCACCATCATCGATGAAATTCCTTGCCAACTGATTAGTACTGTTTGGTCCCGGTAACTTGGACAAATCTTCAGATGATTCTGCAACTGAGCTGTCCAACTCTGAATTTTGTTTTTTAAGCACTTGAACATGTTGGGTTGGTTTTCCAGTTATAGTTTCGTCTTTTTCAAAAGTTGTGTTCTCTGTTCTGTCCGAACTACTAAAATTTTTACCTTTTCTTGATGTTTTGGCCTCCATATTGTCCCAATATTTTTCAAAATGTTCATCATCAGGTTTCCCTGCCATGTTTTGTTCGTCCTTAGACAATAAAACACTAGACCTATCCGATACTTCTTTTTTATCCGAGACACTACTATCTTGTTTAAATACAATAGGTTTTGTTGTGTTGACCTCTGCAGTTTTGTCAGTTTTTGTTTGATTTCTGTCATCTTTTTTTGCCTGAGTGGTCATTTCTGGCAGGATAGATGTCTGTGGACAATCTCCAATGACAGCAGTCACAATTGGCCCGTTCTTTTTGCTTCTGTTCAGTGTTTTTGTCTCTAGCTTGTTAACTTGACCTCTGTCTAGAGCTGTCCTTTCCTGATCACCTTGACCTCTGTCTAGAGCGATCCTTTCCTGATCACCTTGACCTCTGTCTAGAGCGGTCCTTTCCTGATCACCTTGACCTCTGTCTAGAGCGGTCCTTTCCTGATAACCTTGACCTCTGTCTAGAGCTGTCCTTTGCTTAACACCCTGTCCTTTATCTAGATATTTGTCCCCCTGATCACCTTGACCTCCCTCTGGAGTTGTCAACTGTAGATGACCTTGACCTTTGGCAAGTGTTGTCCGTTGTCCATCCTTTCGACCTGAATCCAATTTTTTGTCACTTTTCCCTTCAATTTTGTGCCGTTGGTCAGATAGAACGTCAGAGTTTAACATAAACAACCCATCTTTACTGTGGTCCTGATCTGTTTCTGAGGAGTTTGGAACTCCAACCTTTGACCCATCATTTGCAGAAACCACTGTAGAGTTGACCGTAAATGTATCGTCGCTTTTTGAATCTCCAGGGGTCACCTTGTCCAACACCTGTGGTACTCTATCAGATTCTGTTTCAGTCAGTATGGACTGCTTTGCATGGCCATGATTTTGATACTGGATGATACTTTCCCCACCTGTCACACTGGTTGAATTTTCTTCACCACCTACAAACAGTATTAGAAAGGTTAATCAATGAATGCTACAATATTGTGAAAATGACAGCACTGTATAACATACATATGTATCGAGTACTTAAACTGCTAGCCTGTCATGTAGCCCAGACTTTTGGTTTGTTTTGTGTTTTACCTCCTATTAACAGCTATGGTCATTTAAGGACATGCCAGGTTTTGGTGGTGGAGGAAAGCTGGAATTCCCGGACAAAAATCACCGACCTGTGGCCTGAGTACCTGGCGACTGCCCCACGTCACCACGTAGGCCTCGAACCCAGGACTCTGTGGTGGAGGGCTAGTGGTAGCAGAATGTCAGACGCCTTAACCACTCCGCCGACCCAGTGGTGGAGGGATAGTGGTAGCAGAATGTCAGACGCCTTAACCACTCCGCCGACCCAGTGGCGGAGGGATAGTGGGAGCAGAATGTCAGACGCCTTAACCACCTGGCCACCAATGACCCTGTGGTGGAGGGCTAGTGGTAGCAGAATGTCAGACGCCTTAACCACCTTGCCACCCACAATCCTGTGGTGGAGGGCTATTGGTAGCAGAATGTCAGACGCCTTAACCACCTGGCCACCCACGACACTGTGGAGGAGGGCTAGTGGTAGCAGAATGTCAGACGCCTTAACCCCTCGGACGACCCAGTGGTGGAGGGCTAGTGGTAGCAGAATGTCAGACGCCTTAACCAATTGGCCACCCACGACCCTGTGGTGGAGGCCTAGTGGTAGCAGAATGTCAGACGCCTTAACCAATTGGCCACCCACGACCCTGTGGTGGAGGCCTAGTGGTAGCAGAATGTCAGACGCCTTAACCGCCTGGCCACCCACGACCCTGTGGTGGAGGGCTAGTGGTAGCAGAATGTCAGACGCCTTAACCACTTGGCCACTGCTGCCCCTTGTGTAGCCCAGAAACAAATCTAGTGTTGAAAATGTTGTTCATCCACAGTTTTTCTTCCTTAAATGATTTTTTTTAGATCAGATTTTATAAAGGTTTCACTTTTAAACAAATTTTAATTGCTATTCCATTAAATAGCAAAAATAATCAACCAATGCTCTTTTGACAACAATAAATATTTTCTTAATATCAATCCACAAAATAGATGAAATCAATTACCCAAGGAAAATTGATGTTTTTTTTTTACAATATCTACTGCTATGTAAATTTCAATTGTATCCGGAAAAAACCTTTGGTATATATGAAGCAACCATGAAATGATTTCCCCTCGATGTAATACCATAAGTCATTTATCAAATGGAAATGTAATATAAAACCAAATGAGACCATAACATATTGATATTTGTTTCTGAGAAAATAAAGCATGTTTACTTTTCAGTTTAAATGCATGTACTGAATACTGAATGATACTTTTTTGGGGGAAAGTGGATAAACATTATATGCCCCCCCCCCCCCCCCCNNNNCCCCCACTCCCCCTCTGTCTCTTAAGAATGATTTATAAATGTGAATGTGACACAGGCCCTATTAGTTTCATGAATGTTCCTAAACATCTATTGATAGGCATAATTCCTAAAATGTTAAGGAAGATTTATAGATTTTATTTTTTTTATCAATTAATTATCTCCTATGAAAAACTTTAATTTGAGGAATTTCTTGAAATTCAGAAAAGTACTTAAGTACATAACACTACGACAGGAACAGCCTGGAAACATTGTCTCCCCTTGACTGGCATGGATCCTTGAAATTCTAGGGGTTACTCTTAACTTCAAGTTGTGCTTTCTCTGCACCCCTGGAATACTGAGGGCACATGGTTAGCCATTGTTTGGCAACGAACATATATATATATGCCATGGTGAGCGTTAGCATTCCATTAAGAATATGTTCATTGCCAACTGCATTCATACTACCGAATATGCTGTCAAAATGAAGATTAATTAATCCTTATATTTATATCCAAAAAGAAAAATCAAATGTTACAATACACAGAAAAAACGTTGGAATCGGGTTGCTACGATGGTAGCTAAGGTAGCCTTGGTTGCTAGGATAATATAGTTCCAGTGATCCACATCGATATATGACTAAATTTAGAAAATCCAGTGAACAACACTGTTTTTTTGCTTCCTTTCAATTTTAAATGAAGTAAAGTGAGGAAGCAGTCGAATGTTTCAAAACAAAGCCGCCATTGTTTACGTTACCATCAAAGAAATTTGAATGTGCATCCATGGAATAACAAGTTTGCCAGGATCCCTTTGTTGTAAAATCAGACATAATGAATCCCGAATATATTCCAGGCAACTAGATGTTGAACGAACCAAACAATGGTTATCATCGGACTGTTATATCTCGCTAAAGCATGAACAGACCCATATTTGAAACAAATATCAATCCGCCGAGCCTTTTTTCACTGCGTATCCGCTAATTGATACACAGTCAGACTTTACTAAGCTGAAGAAGGGAGAGATGTAAATATATGCCAAATAGTCAAGAGCTCTATTTCAGTTCCCATCTGTGTCTGCCATTTTCTTTCAAGTTCACCTTCTTGAAAGGATTAAACTGTAAAGATGCAAAAGCAGTCTTATATTTTGTAACTGTGTAACAGGGAAGGAATATGTGGGGGAAATCCAGTGATGCAGTATAGCCCGGGGACCCACTCACTAGTTCAGCAACATTGTGTGTGGTCAGTAGCTGGATGGTGACCGCCATCATGTTACATTTGGTGGCAGCGTATAGACCCTGTGGTATCATGTGAGGCCAGTTCCGGTGGTTAGGGAAGGTGCATTGGTACATAGAGAGGACCCACAGATAGCCCATGCCAAGTCTCAGGACTTCTCGGAGGGGGGAATAATGTAACAGCTAAGGAATATGAGGGGGAAATACTGTCTTACTGGCAAGCCAGCTTTTCCAGTGATGCGGTATAACCCAGGGACCCGCTCACTAGTTCAGCAACGTCGAGCGTCAGTAGCTGGATGGGTGACCACCCACAAGTATCAATAGGTAATAATGAGAACAGTTGTCTCCCTTTACTTGTTAACTTTCTGTGTATCATATCATCCTGCGAAGAGCTATCTCCCACTGACTTGTTAACTAAACATTTACTGATATATTTCGTAATTAGTCACATTAGGAACAGTTGTCTCCCTTGACATGTTTATGTACTATGTTACAGATCAACCAGGGAAGAGTTATCTCCCATTGACTTGTTACCTATAAACACTTACTGATAGTGCGTAACAGGTCACACAGTGCACAGTTGTCTCCCCTTGTCTTCTTCGTATCATTCCTCATGAACAGTAGTTTTTCCTGCATCTCGGAACAGCAAACACACAACACCTAGAACATAATTATAAAGCAATTAATTGCCGTCCAGTGATTTTTCTACTGTCTTTTCACAGTCAGGACTAAAGGCAGGAGAATTTCTCTTTATTTAGCTCATTCGGTAGAGCATAAGACTAGTAAAACAGAGGTCCTGGGTTCCACTCCTGGTGGAGGCTTTTAAAATTTAAAGACCTCTATTACATACCAGAAAAAGAAATTATACCAAAACATTATCCATCATCACTTATGAAAAGATTCTTTTTACACAACCAATAAGTGTTTCTATGTGACGTTTCGATGACTAGTACGATATGTCTGATGAAGGTGACAGAGTAGCCATAGTCTGTAACTAGTCATTGAAACGTCACATAGAAACACTTACTGGTTGTGTAACAAGAATCTTTTCATAATCCATACCTGTACTTACCAACCTGAAGAAAATGTTTAAAAAAAGAAGAATTATACATCATATCACACGTTCGATTTGTAATGACTTCACCTTTTTGCAGACATGACAGAAACGAAGATCCTGTTCTCCTCCGAGTGCTGCACCACAAATCTCACACATGTTCTCGTTGGTCTTTGGAGCAAGGTAATGGTGTCCATTTGCTAATTCTGGCTCCAATGACCCCTGTGACCCTTGTAGGTTCAGAAAACTAGCCATCTTCAAACTATCTTACCCCCTGTGGTTAGAAAAGAGAATATATGAGAAAATATTCTGGTAAAATCAGGTTTACATCAATCTAGATTGTAAATTGATGTTTCAGGTACATTGTATATTACCTGAAGAGTAAATTAGCACTCAGCACAGCCTTAACATGCAAGAATGGGGAAAAAAAGGCTACCAAACTCATATAAGGATAAACTGCTCCTAACATAAATTCAAAACAGTTGATTACAATTCCAACATACACATGCAATTCAAATTCACAACTATTTAAGTTGATCAAATTCACCAAGGCATCAGAAACGATAGTACATACAATGTGTAAACTTTCAGGAATGCTATTCAACATTAAAATCAAAGTGCACTGTTACATTCTACATCTAATTGCTTTGTTTTACCTAAGGACTGGTACTTACAACTGGTTCAGATATACTTACACCATCACTACATTGTATGTCTGCTACTGACTAAATGGGACTCTGTTCCGTTTACTTTAAATATGTTTATTCAGCATTATAATGTTTTCAACTTACACAGCAATTTTTCTTCTATTTAATTATAAGATTGACAAGAAAAAGTCCCCAAATTGTTACCCGAGACGATCAGTGATGCACCACTGGAGCATTTTCCAGTTAATGTAAGGCCTGCATTAAATTATTGTTTGTGTTCCCTTTACCGACCAAAATCATAAAATCATGGGTAGGTACATTTGGTAGGTAGGGCAAATTATATTATTTATACTGTAAATAGAAACTTAAAATTCAGACAGAATACCAGTAGTACAAGTACGATTCCTTTTTTTTTTGTAAACATCTAACAAATACGGGAAACAAACAATATTTTATTTTAGGCCTAAGAGAATGAAGAGAAATGAATGGCCAGACTGGGATTTGAATCCCGGCCCCCCTGAATTCTAGACTAACGACATACCAATTGTATGAGGAGCTATCTGGTCTCCAAATAATGATTTGACTTAGGCCAGTTCCGCTACATTAGTCCCTTCTTTTTGTAAGTCTTTGCCCCCAAAGACATCACTTTTTACCCCTCAGGTTCAGGTATCCCCGTAACAAAAGTACTAATAGTGCACCCAATCCTTTAAAACAAGGATTGGCACGCTCACCAGTTTTGTAACAGGAGATAGAGAAATGTATGGAATAGACAGGGACTTAAACAGCAGACCCAGTCCAGTTCCACTACACTTATTGAAACATTATTTTGAGGATTTTCTAATGTTCCCAGGTTGAAACTAAAATCTGAAACAGAAATTATATTTCTGTTTGCGTAAATTTGACAGACTGAAAAGTTCCAGCCAGTGTGCATGCATGTCTGCTTTATGAATTCAAAGCTTCTGTAGTTCCCCTTTTAGGTAATTCACTTTATTTAGCTGACTTCTGTACTGTATTAAGCTGATATGGTACTTCAATCAAAAGTTCTAAAGTGAAACCGAAAGTAGGAAAATTTAGAATGACATCGACAGTTTCATTTCATATTCTTCATCAGAAGAAACGTTTATATGAATAATATTGTCACTTTAGTTAAAATCCAATCCAACATTTGCTACCTACGCGACGTAACATCACTTAATCTGTAATTACTGTCAAATAACTTTCACATTCAATATAAAAAAAATCCTCCGACAACTGTGCATAATGCTGTAATAATAATTTAGGCTCAAGTCGACTCATACTTACGATAGCTGACTCGCGATGAGACACATAAAAAACGAATGCCGAACTTGATCCAGCATGATAGTCATCAAAATGTTACATGTTACCGATGTGTCAGTCGCTCGACGTTTTCAACTTGTATCCTTGTCATATAAGAGTTCCTTGTTGTCGGAAAACCTAACAAAGGGAAGTAACCCTCAATATTTGTTCTCTTTGGGGGTTATCTCAAAACCAAATTACCGTACAAGTGTATATGTGTACAGCGTAATAAACACAAACAATCTATTTTAATAATGAAAGAGTGGTTCGATCGTTAACTAATTCTATAAAAGGCGTTGGTAGAAGACTAAGTAGCATAACATGTACTTGTGTGCGAATGATCCAAGTATTTGGTGGTAGGTACATCTTGTACCCCGTTCCCGCACCCGGACTGAAACCCCGTACCTGGAATATAAAGATATCTTAATATCTCATTAACGCGATCGTTTATAATTTTTATAAAGATATAGAATAATTTCAAACATTATTTTCTAAATGTGACAATTACAAAAATGTTTATTTATTATCTAATAATTTAGAAATCGGCGATAATGTGTATTTCAAGTGGGTAAAACTTGTACGCCGCAGTCAACCGTGAAAATCACGGGTTTTCACATATAACTAGAAATATAGGGAAAATTGACATGTTATTTTCAGATATATAGAACAAAATACCTTACTGTTTATAATGATGTAAGTTTCGTTGAAATAAACAACATATTTCACATGAAATTCTGACTTTGTTGTGATCGCGGGTGTTTTGTTTACTCCCGTACCCGTACTAAGGGGGACATCACTCTGTCAAGCTGTCGTTATCAAGTAGAACTCTTAGCCATTCTATTAGAATGTTACCAGGCTCTGCGACGCGGACGCAGTTCTACATAAGAGCCCATATTTTTTTAAACTATATATATATAAGATAACTAATAGTTTACAAAATAAGAATTCATGATCATCATTATGATTGGTTATCATTAGAAAAAATGGGTATTTTTCTTATAACTTGAAGAAATGGTTTTATGATTGAAATAATTGTTCTTTTTCATACAAATTACAAAACACAAAAAAAGTATTAAGTTGAATAGAAAATTATAAATATATTTATTAAAATAAAAATTAGCTGTAGTCATGTTTTATGTTTAAATCACAATGCTGGCTAACCTAACTAACTAAACTGCATTATTCTAACCTGACCTATATACTTCTGACTTGTATTGCTGTTTTATGAACACTTACCACACTTCAAAATAAAACTATCCATAGAAAAATGTAAATCTGACTGATCACTTACACATCTATTATGAAACCATCTGTCACAGACAGCATCATAGGAAACCATATCATCAAATACATTTGAAATGTGACACCCATCTGCTTCGCAATCAATAAAAATATCAAATGATAAAGAAGTCTTCTTTTGCCTATGCCTAATCATTTTTTTCCTAGGAAATTTAGTAAAGATTCCATTGGAATTACATTCTCCAAGATGTTGTCTCATGCAAGTGGTGTTAAACTCTAACTCTTCACTCCCGTTAAACCCAATGAAACAAAATTCGACCAAGTTTGCAATAGCAAAAACCCCACAATCAACCCCGTTTTTCTGTTGTTGCACATTTGGTAATACTGTTTTTAAAACTTTTCTATTTTCCCCATATGATGATGACAACTGCATTTCTAAAGAAGCTGACAAATTACCCTTATTTTTCGTATTTCCTATCAAACTATCAAGAATGTATACTTCCCCACTATCTACCTCCTGTACTGACACTACCCAATGGTCCTCACCTACATGATGAATTTGTGCTGATGCAGCGCTAGTTGATTTCATTCAAACACATTATCGTCGATTTCTAAATTATTATATAATAAATAAACATTTTTGTAATTGTCACATTTAGAAAATAATGTTTGAAATTATTCTATATCTTTATAAAAATTATAAACGATCGCGTTAATGGGATATTAAGATATCTTTATATTCCAGGTACGGGGTTTCAGTCCGGGTGCGGGAACGGGGTACAAGATTTACCTACCACCGAATTATTTTTCTTAATGACAACATGCAGAGACCTATAAAAACTAATATTATATAACGTTAATTTAAAGAAAAATAGCATTATATACCACGGACTTTGATAGCAATTCCGTGCATATACTTACTATAACATTCTGCACGGACTCAAATTAATCTAGTTTCATTGCTAAAGTGTGTCGATAAAGATAGCCATGGACATTGTTTGGCTCACCAGTGGTACTTAAGATCAAAATAATGGAAGACTGTTTCAAAAGTGTTCCAAAACATAAATGTATACAGATCGGGCAAAGGTGCTTATACAAATGTGCAAGGTTATAATTAGCAACAATGGATACTTCAATCGTTATCAGTATATGTTTTGGACATCAGGAAACCCAACACTTTGGGTGTTTTAAAACCTTTTGTTGACCGTCACACAAATTGCTATATTGAATTTGATTTTTTTCAAAAATCATATCCAATCCAAAACTACACTAATTATTAATATAAATAATGTATGATATTTGATATCACTAAGCTAAGTTTGGATAAATGACGCCCAGTCATTGTGTTTAATGAGGAGGCAGTGGATTAATTCAGAGTTAACTTTATAATGAATGATAATTAATAGTACTGAAGAATTCAGTGAGTCTGAAGAAGATTAAAAACTATTTTTCTATCGTTTGAATATTTTTAATAACAAATATGGGATATTTGATTTTAAGATTAATTATCCGAGTGTTTTTGTGATAATGAAATTGGAAAATCGAGACTTATTAATTATTACTATACGTGTTTTCAAGTTAAACGCCACCTTATCTACCACCACAGTTAACTGATAGTTAGCTAATAGTTAAGTACCTTATTTTTACCGACGTTATACCTTGACGTCATGCGGCAGGCATCCGGGAACTTATGGTATGGTCTGTCGTCCGTCGACCGTAAGTCGTCCATTAACTTTTTCTTTAAACGACTTCTTCTTAAAAACTTCAGGACCTAGGGTCGACGTACGTCATGATATTTTGCCGTTAAGTACATGTACCTAGGACGGAGTGCTAAGTATTATCCTCATATAAATGACCTTGACCTATTTTCAACCAATTCTTTGTAATCGCGTCATTGCTTGGTCTGTTGTGTCACACAGATACCAATGCAGACCCTTGTATCAATTCGTCCAACGTCTCTTTCCGAGACTGGCACTTAGAAAACAAGTGCTTGACCAAAACCATTGATTGGAATAGTGTTGTGCCTCATGAAATAACATCAAAGTGTTACCTTCATATAGAAACGAAAATAAATCATGAGTGTCATCATCCCCTGTACCTGTTTACAGACTTTACCATCTCTGACAAAAAAATCAAATGACCCTGGCTATGACCATATGCTGTACAAATTGTTTAAGCCCATGAAATCTATACCAGAATTAAAGTCAGGGAGAGCCCTGTATTTCTTATTGGCCTTAGTCATACTAAACTCAAATGACGTCGAAATCAATCCTGGCCCAAAAAACAACAGTACTAAGTATATGTGTGGTACGTGTGACAGTACTATTAACTGGAACCATAGGGGTATCATGTGCGAGACATGTAATCAGTGGTACCACATAAACTGTCAAAACATACACACAGAAACATTTGAAGATCTGTTAGAAAGAACACAGGTCCACACAAAAGACATAAACAAAAACCAGTGCGAATTGTTAACATCAACTTCCAGTCGCTTCGAAATAAACAACATCTTCTTGAAAATGTCTTGGATAGCACTGCGCCTGATATAGTGATTGGGACTGAAACCTGGCTTAACCCGAGCATAAAATCAGCCGAAATCTTCCCTTCGGGCTATAAGATCTACCGAAATGACAGAAAAAAGTCAGACACTGATAAATATGGTGGTGGTGTACTGATCGCTATAAAAGACCACCTCATCATCGAAGAAGTACATGATCTGACACCAAACAAGGCCAGTGAATCTATATGGGCCAAAGTGAATGTAATCGGGAGTAAAACACTCTATATCTGCTCCTTCTATCATCCCAAAACATCTGACGAAAACAGTATGAGATTGTTTAGCTATTCCATCAAAAAAGCCACCAAAGTTAATAATGCAGCCCTAATTAAAGGTGTCGACTTCAATCTCCCGGGCTGGAACTGGTAACATAAAGTCCTCAAACCCAAAACAAATCATGTAAAAATACACTATGGTTTTGCCAACTTACTGGATGACACGGCACTCACCCAGCTAATCGATCAACCCACCAGAAATGAAAATATCCTTGATCTCCTCATTACAAATTTCCCAAACCAAATAATTCGAACAGAAATTATCCCTGGTCTCTCTGACCACGACATAGTCTATGCAGAGTTGAACCTTACCACACAAAAAAATATTCAAAAACCAATATCCATCCCAGTATATAAAAACTCAAACTGGAATTCAATTAAAGCTGAGCTTATCAATGTGTACAACTGTATGACAGAAAATAGCGAGTGGGACGTAAACAAAATATGGGAGTATTTCAAAATTGAATTGTCTAAACTCATAAAAGAACATATCCCCCACAAGATAGTTAAGACAAAACCCAGCCTACCTTGGGTTACCCCTGACATAAAGAAACTTATCAGGAGAAGAAATAGATTGTACAAACGATCAAAAAAATCAGGAGACACTGAAATAAAAAATAAGTATAAAAACCTGAAACATCATATACAGAGAAAACTCCGAACATCTTACTGGAGCCATATTGATAATATCATCACCCCAGAAAACACAACCAATGAAAACAAATTTTCCTGCAAAAAACGGTTTTGGTCATATATAAAATCCAAAAGATCAGACCATAGTGGCATAGCTCCTCTGAAAAAGGACGGTAAACTTGTTTATGACCCTACCACCAAGGCCCAGGTGCTAAACGCACAATTTCAATCTGTTTTTACTCCTCCTGAAATCTTTACCGACCAGCAGTTTCGCACTAGATGCAACATGCCTACTCACGATAAATACCCTGCCATGCCTGAAATTTCTATACATGAAAAGGGCGTCTTAAAACTGCTCCAAGGCCTAAATCCATACAAGGCCTCGGGCCCTGATGACATCAAACCCAGAGTACTAAAAGAGCTTGCAAC